AAAGGTCGTCCCTGTGGTAAATGTGGATGAGAAAGCAGAAGAGGAACCTAGTTCCTTGACCCACAAGTCCTCGAAGAAGAAGCACTCTCACTCTCAATCCAAAAGACACACTTCTACTAGTGTTGAAAGCCCTTACAAGAGTGCTGATGCTGCTTCCAGTGAAAAGTTGGTGAAAAATTATGGTGACAAGATAGTGAAAGAGAGCGGTGACAAGTCTGATGATAAAGAAGTGGAAAACTCTGGTGAACATATGCATAAAAGTTAGTGGAGAAGGGAAAGTCTATTCGCAAACCGGTAAAAAGAAAAATGGATGATGATGAGGAACCAGGTACCATCAAGAAAGCAAAAGTTGGTAAGTCTCTGAGTTCTGAGAAAAAGAAGTTGAGAAATCAGAAGGTACTGTGGGGTCGCACTTTTGCCCCTGACATTGTAGAGCTTGCTGGAATGAGACAACTAGTAGAAATTTCTGATTTCCAACAATGGACTCATCTGTTTGCAAATAATGTTCCAAAAGTATATAAGGAGGAGGTGGATAGTTTTTATGCCGACCTCTTCACAGTTGATGACGATCAAATATATGGTTTGGTAAATGGGGTGGACATAGTGGTGGACTCAGCCATATTGGGGTCAATTCTGGGTGTTCCTACTGAAGGGATGTCGTCTTTCGGGGTGCCTACACGCCAAATTTCAAAAATGCCATTGTCAAGGACAAGGCAATCCAGCAGGGGGAACAGGTACATGAGAAGGCACTCCTTCTAGTATATTAGGTGCTCTTTGAGATGGTAAATAAAGTGCTGCTTCCCCGCGCTGAGAGGAGATCTATTACGTCCAAAACTGACCTGCTCCTTATGGAAGCCTTGGATATTTTACCACCATCAATCTACCTGGGATAATGATTGAACATATGCAAAAGGTGGCAAACTTTAAGGATGGCAACAATGGACTACCGTATGGGTTTCTACTCATAAAGGTCTTCGAATTCTTCAAAGTGCCTCTGGGACAGGCCAAGGTGGGCGCTAAAAAGCAAACCTTCTCCAAGACCACTCTTGAGGAGTGTGAGTGTATTGAAAAGGTTGGAGGAGTTGGAAGCACCCCCACTATCTCTCAACTGATAAATGCTCATAATAGTGCCACAGAGGAGATCCGGAAGTTGAAGTCTAGGAACGCGATTCTTGAGAGTCAGCTCAGTCAGCTATAAGAGACACATGGTTCTAGTAGTTCTCACAGCTCAGAGGTTTTCCGCCTAACGAAGGAGAATGTTGAGCTCAGGAAACAGGTGGAGGACCAGAAAGAAAGACTGCTCAATGAGCAAATGTCCGCGAATGCTCGCATGGATCTTGTCCTCCAAACCCTTGCTTTCTCTTCCAAGCCCCCTTCCTCCAGCGTCCCCTCAGTGTCAAGTTTTCAGTGTCCATCTTTTAAGTTATTTTGGTGATGTTTTTGTTTCTGGTAATTGTTTTTGTTTTGTTTTGGAATTGTGGATGGTAACAATGATTCTGCTCCTGCCTATAAAGGTCCAAATTTGGTTAATGCAAGTATTTCCCTTTTGTTGTTTATGCTACTACTCTTTTGTCTCTGTTTTCTATCATGTTGTGTGCACACAAGTGGCATGAGTTAACCACGCTAGACTTCTTTATGCTGCTTACTTGTTCTGTGCTTTTTATGACGCCAAAAGGGGGAAGATAATAATAATGATGTGCATTGAAGGGGGAAATACAGATTCAGGGGGAACTCACTAAGATTCCCGGTGCACTATCAGACTCCCTGCATAATTGAATAATAATTATGGGGGATGCAGAGATTCAGGGGGAAACTTAGGGTCTTATTGGTTTACTGTCTGTTCTATGTGGCTCTTTTTGGATTTTTTAATTATGAGTTTGTCATCATCAAAAAAGGGAAAATTGATAGGTTACAAGTACCTTGGTCATAAGTACTTTGTTCTATATTTTGATGATCTAACAAACTTACTATCCAGAACCAGATAAGGAACCTGTTACACATTCCCAAGACCTTAAGATCACAAGGTTCCAGCTTGGGTTATGGTTCAACTCTTCAGAGTAGAAGGAACAGCTGAAGGAACAGGTCCTTACGAGTTCCCGACGTGACTGTACGAAGTCAACTCTCCATTTGAAAAAGTTGTTGCCTGCACACGCTACAGTACATGAACAGTGTAGCAGTCAACTTTCTATGGAAGACTTTTTACCTACCTTGCTTACATCATTGTAAGTGATGTCATACATGCATTAATACAATCAAGGAAGGAAAAACACTTCACTTGAAGAATTAGATATTTCAAAAAAGCTCTCACCGATCATCCAGCAAGCAACTCTCAAGTGCTTCAAGAACAAAGAACAAAAAAACTACGGACCAGTTCCTACATCAAGTTACTGTATGTCCTTAGTTGAGTTGTAACTTTGTTAATGTTCTTACTTGTAACTCCTACTTAGATTACTAAGAAGCAATGTGTAGGAAACCCTTTGTAAATCTTAAACATTTGTGTTTGAGTCTTGGCTAGATTTAGTCGAGTTGTGAAGTCTTTGTAATAGAGGTACTACAAAGTGGCTTGTAATAGGTGTGTTACAAGTTAGTGAGGGATTAAGAGGTTAATTCCTATGTTGCATTGATTGTAATCTTAAAGTTGCCCAGTAGTGAAGTTGAAATCCTACAAGGGTAGGTCATGGTTTTTGATCCCGTTGAGTTGAGAATTTTCCACGTAAAATTCCTCTTGTCATTTATTTACTGCAGTGTACGTGTATTATGTTAAACCTGATAGAGAACTTGGTTCTCTGTAGAGTTTGGTGGACCCTTATATTCTATCAATTGGTATCAAAGCGGGTTCTTTCTATCAGGTTAACACCTAGAAAGGACCCTCATGGCTGGTCCTCCAAACTTCGAAGAAGGCCAGTCTACTTACAGACCACCCAGGTTCAATGGACAGTATTATGGATGGTGGAAAACTAGGATGCACGACTTCATCATGGCTGAAGATTCTGAGCTATGGGATGTCATATGTGACGGACCCTTTATCCCTACCAAGAACCTTGGCGACCCAGCTGTAGCCATTCCCAAAACAAGGAAGGAATTCAATGATGTTAGTCGAAAGGCCATAGAGAAGAATTTTCGTGCAAAGAAAATTCTTGTTTGTGGGATAGGTCCTGATGAATACAACAGGATATCGGCATGTCAATCAGCAAAAGAAATCTGGGAAGCTTTGCAAACAGCTCACGAGGGAACAACACAGGTGGAGCAATCAAAAATTGACATGCTCACCACTGAATATGATCTCTTCCAGAATGAAGGATGATGAATCCATCCAAGATATGCACACTCGATTCACCTCCATCATCAATGGGCTTCACTCTCTCGGTGAAATCATTCCTAGAAACAAGCTCGTCAGAAAAATCTTTAGTGTACTGCCTAGTTCTCTCGGTTAAATATCTTTTGATTCTTGAAAAACAGAGAACATTATGCAGATGAGAAGACTTAGTTTTATCACAAGGAAATGTAGTTTGACCAATATGAGTTATTGGTATTCCTTTACCATCACCAATGATGATTGCATCATTGCCCGAGAAGCTAGTAGCAGAGTAAAGGGATTTTGGATTATCTGTGATGTTGTGAGAAGCGCCCGAGTCAACAATCCATGAACGTGAGCGATTGGCATCATAGTTTGTATGATTGGTAAAATTTGCCTGAGCTTCAAGTGCATCGTGAGATTTAGAGCGGCACACCTTAGCTATATGTCCATACTTATCACAAAGTTGACACCACACTCTTTGTTTATTAGGCCTGTTATTGGATGCCTTTGAGTTGGTCATTTGTCCAGAAAAATTACGGATGTTAGGCATGGAGTTGGAAATTCCTCGTCGTCGCTGAGAACCATTGTGGTTTCTTCCTTTAGATTGGTTGAACGAGTTGCGCTGTTGGCTAAATTGGGCAGTGATAATAGGCTGCTCATTCTTTGATTCTGAGTGCTTGACGAAATCTTCATGCGGAAGAAGTTTGTCAAACAGTTCTTCAAAGATATGGGATTATTACGAGCGCGTATGGCTGCTCATATCTCTTTATATTCTGCTCCAAGTCTGCTCAAAACTTTGGCGACTAGTTACTCATTTGTTAGAGGTGAGCCAGAGGCAGCCAGATCATCCGCAATGGATTTAATTTCATGTAATCACTGATGGATTTAGAGTCGCGCTTGATATTTGAGAGTGTGACTCACGAAGTCCAAAAGTTCTTGCTTGAGATTTGTTTGCATAAGTTGTTTGCAAATTGTCCCATGTGTTTTTTGCAGTAGCTGCTTGCGCGATCAGTGGCGCAATGGATGGATCGACAGAGGCCTTAGCCACAAATTGTATGCTAGATTAGGAAGTGGACTGCCTTTGTCATCTGTAATACACACCGAAGGAGTAACAGATGTGCCATCAATGTAGGATAGGAGATCATATCCAAATGGTAGGATGGTTACTTGGGCTTGTCAAATCTAATAGTTTGAGCTTCCCATCAGTTTGATCGAGAGCTGTGACGCTGGGTTGAAGGAAATCAATTGTGTTGGTTGGATCACATTTTCATGGCTGAAAATGGTTGGTAAAGTGGTGGTGCTTGAGTTTCCTCCCATTAGGCTTTAACTGAATGAGAAAAAAAAATTGCAGAATTTTTTTGAGTTGCTCGTGTGAGCTTGCTTCTGATACCATAAAATAGTCAAAACTTAGTATTCCAACTTATGTTTTACAGTCATGTAAATGAGTACATTTATAGCTGAAGAAGTATAATCATAGTAGGAGTATTGTAGATGAGGGAGAGAGGCTTTGGAAATATATACAACAGTTTGAATTCGAATGAAACTCTTATCTATGTTTATCCCTATCCTTATCACCTATCAAGGGTCATGTCCTCGACCCAAAAAAGTAATTCTCAGAAATTACCAAAGCAGATAAAGTGGCCATTGCACAACCACAAATAACATTTCAATAACATAACAAATAAAAGTTGACATGAAATAATCAAAAACAATTCAAGAAGATTAATTTAAGTTCTTTCTATTCTTAATAGGTCTGAGCCTTACCAACTTCTGCAACTAGTTCTAGTCATACATTGACTGAGTACAAGAAGAAATATGTGAAAATAAAAAAAGAAAGTGATTCGATAATTAAAACTTAGCCAAATCAAAGCTAAGCAACAGTAATATAAGAAATAGTGTTAATTTAAAACTATGATAGAGAAAGGTCTAATGCAAGAAGATATCACTCCAAAACCATTGTATTTTGAGCATCGTTGGAAGTACTTTCCATCTTTGGTATAATCATATTCTGACTTGTATCAACTGGTAGCCTGTAAGAAAAAATAAGAAGAATTAATTTAAATAGTTGTCCGTCTAATCGTTTAAATTAAAAATAGCCAGCATATATGAAATATATATACAATATACCAATAATAATATTTAATCTGTTTATACCAGTTAGAAAAAATAAACAATGGATTCAGCCGACTATTTTTAATTTGTCCTCTAATTAGTTTCCATATAGTAAATTATAAATATTTTAAAGGAGGAACATCATATTTTAAGTAGTTTTATACAAACTTTGGTTTGACATGATAATTTGGAGTAGAAAATTTTAAAAATGGTATGATCAAGGGTCGTTTGGTTCATAAACGAGTTATACAGGGATTATAATATAATAATTATTAGACGAAGACTAATAATACCTGTGTGTATAATTAGTAACATAAGTAAATCAATTAAATAAAAATGTAATTACAGTTTATAATTACCCTAAGCGCAAACAAGTGTCTGAATCACAAACTGAATTATCCAAAGCTAAAGCTCTTTCTTCACAGTGCCTGGAGCTGCGTCTTAGTTCCTCAATCTGAATAAACAAAAAATAATTTTACAGATTTAATAAATAAAAGGTAAATATTATATCAAAATAGAGAAAAATGATTATAAAACCACAATTATAATTTTAAAAAATACAATTAAAATGTAGAATTAGAATATGGACTTTAAGGCATACCTGTTCACGCAGGGCTTCATTTTCTAGTGAAACCTTTTCCTCCTGCCATGCAGAAAAAGAAAAAGAACAAGTTTTTTAATTTTCCATCAAAAGAATAATTTTCATGAGAAGTCATTTAATTTTGTGGTGTTTGATATAACTGAAATTATTTTTTAAAGAAAATATTTTTCATCAAATGAATAAAAAAATTCTCTCGCTTTCGATTGAAAATGATTTTTGTCATACCAAACTGACTCTAGATCTCTAATTTAATATTTTTCTTTCACTTCTTTTACTTGAAATTTGTTTTTTCCTTTTATTTTACACGTAACAGATCGATCTAGTCATGAGCAAGTTGAAAAAAAAAATTAGAAAGCCTTGGAGGACCCAACCCAAGTATGTCGCAAAATACGTGGATGACTTATGGCCCGGGATGAAAGGCCAACTAAGAACGAATATAGCTGATTTTTCACTGGATCTATTTCAGTAAACTATATGATATCAATAGACCGATGTTTAGAAAGGTCAATCCCTCCCCTACGACACCCAAAAAACTGGGCTGAACTTCTAAACCATCCGCTTTCATAGAAAAATATGGTGATATAGTTTAAAATTTCCAATAAAAAAAAGTGAAATAAGTCAATAAATATCAAAATTCAGGGTTTTAAAATTTTTAACGCAAATGTATACCTGCAGCAGTGATTTTTCAATTTTTCCCAACAATACTTGTTCCTGAAAATATATATAGCAAAAAATATTTAAAAAAAATATCAAAAGCAATATAATATGCTTCCCTCCTTTTTTTTTTTGAATATTAAATAGGACTGATTTTCGAAGTACATATAATAATTACTCCCTAATTAATAAAATTTATATATACTACCTTTTTATCTTTAACTGCTAAAATGCCTTCAGTTAGCTGATGTTCTAATTGCTGCAAGTCTTTGAAGTTCAGACCATCAAGTTCCTTCCCCATCAACCGGCTTCACATTATATAATATGCAAAAATAAAGAGAATATTATTATCAATAATTAATATTATATCAATCACATTTATTACTATATAAACATTTTAGTATAACTAGCTTATAAGTAACTTGACAGTATAAGAATTCTTTACATGGTCATTATGTACGGTCAAACCTCTATATAACATCCTCGTTTGTTTCGAATATCTTTGGATGTCATTGCGAAGTGTTGTTATAGAGAACTTACATTATAACATAACATAACATAAAAATTGGTTCCGATTAAGCTTGGCTTTTATAGTGAAATGTTATTATATAGAGATATTGTTATAGAGATGTCTTATCTACAAATAAATTGCCTTAATAAAGCACTTTTAGAATATACGCTTCCATATTTTGCAAAATTTCTCTTTCACTCGTTAATCTACATGGCATGACTTCAGTTTACCGAGGACATGACCCTTGACATGAGGGTGTGGAAGTCAAAGATTAGGGTATAAGGATAATAGGTCGTCGTGTATTTTTCTGATATGTTCCAGGTTTATTAGGGCTAGCTGACTAGTACATTGTCTTTGATTCTTAGAATACCAGTATTAGGGTTGTTTTAGTACTATCTTCCGTTTCGATTTTCTAGTACCCTGTCATGTCACTGCTTGTAGCTATTACTTTTGCTTTCTTCCATTTATTTTCTCGCCGGCCCTTACATTGTTGATATTATTTTCCTGGCTTGTTGTTGTTGTTCAATTGTTCCTATTCTTTCTCTCGACCCGAGGATATTTCGGAAACAACATCTCTCCCCTCCAGGTTAGGGGTAAGGTCTGCGTACACATTATCTTCCCCAGATTCCACTTGTGGGATCCCACTGGGCTGTTGTTGTTGTTGTGGTGGTGGGTGGGGGGGGGGGGGGGTAGGGGTGTGGAGAATGTGCGTGCGTGCATAGGGTTAAAAATTATATATGTTTACATTGTAATTAATTGAAGGTTATATGTGCATAAGTAAATACCACAAGGACCAACACGCAAATTATTGATGCTTCAGGGGCTAAAGTGAAAATTTTCCTATTTATTTTTTACAAAAGGAAAATATTGTAGAAAATTAAAAGAAAAACTTACCTTTGCATCTGACGTAGCAAAGCAACTTCAGCTCTTAATTCATTCACTTCAGGCTGCCACTCATGCTTGTTTAACAAAATCAAGATCTTTTAAATTAATTAATTGAAAATATTAAATTGGGAATAATTAATTCATGTGGTTAATTAAATTATGTGATAAATATTTGTTTAATTACTACCTCTGCTGCCACATTTTCGATTGTGGTAAGCTCAGAAGATTCTGGAGCCTTATTGTACCTTGACAGTATGTTTTCCATGCTTCAAAATACAAAGTGAAAATTATCAACCAAAGATGATACAATAAAGACTAATATATTGAAATAGTTTAACTTCTATACACGTAATTTAATTTTCTAAGAAATAAATATAGGTAATCGTTCATGATAAGTGAAATAATTACTTGGAAATATAGACATATATCTTGCGATACAAGGCCTAGCAGAGGATGGACCAATGGGAGATGGACCAATCCTACCATTCAAAAAAATAATCGGCAAATGTATAATATATATATATATATATATATATATTTTGGCCGAGCTACCAAATGTGTAATACGCCAAGAAAAAAAAAGAACACCGATTTATTGGGCTTTATTTGGGCCGCTATAGACGATTGACGGTTCAAGAAAATGGGGCCTAGTGCATAAATGATCATTCTCACAGATGCTATTTAGATATTAGCCAGTACGTATTTTGTCCTGAAATTTTAAACTAAAAATCTTAACTCAAGGAAAATTCAAGACACTTTTGTCCCGTAAAATGAACTGAAAACTAAAATTCAGAACGCGTTGGCTAATTTCTAAATAGCATCCCCTTAGAGTTACTACCTTATGTCATTTCTACAAAAGAATGGTTGTGAATTAAATGAAAGCCCATATCTCTGTTGGGCTATTTCATTACTATACCTTTGTAAAACTAACCTTCTATTTATGGTCCGTCCCAACAACAATTCATTCTATTAATGGAATAACCTATCAACTTTTAGAAATTCATTGCATAAATAAAAGTATTTCAATCCATATTTGGTTTGTATATCACATCATCTCTAAAAATATAATTTACTTGTTAAGCATTTTTAGAATCTTCCACTCCTAGAACACTTTCTATTTATTCAAATATAATCAACCATTTTAGGAAGAAAATGTATTTTTAATCCTTTCCCTTTATCATCATTTCCAAGCTACAAATAAAAATTTTCATAATTTAGAAATAATTCGAATTACATCTTTATTTGCCCCACCTTACAGTAGAAAAAAAAAATTGAGAAAGGATACAACAACTTCATCTAAAACACAAAATTTTCTCATTTCTGAACTTCTATGTTAAAAAAAATAGGAAAATCATTAAATCAATCAAACATACACACAATCAGAAAAAAAAGATTCATCTTTGTACTAACAGGAGCCTCACAACAGAGGTGAACAATAGAAGAAATAAATACTTATATATATACATAATTAACCAATCCGGAAGGGGAATCTTGAAGTAACGGTAAAATTATCTCCGGATGACTTATATGTCAGTTCGAGCCATGGAATCAGCCCCTAACGCCTACGTTAGGGTAGACTGCCTACATCACCCCACTTAGGGGTCCGCCCTTCCCCCCAAGCCGACGTGAACGCGGAATGTTTTATGCACCAGATTACATTTTTTTACATTGAAAAACACACGAACACAAACATACACAGATATGACAAATCTTATATATAAAAGATAAAGATAACTTAATTAAATTAAATAAAATTTTACCTGGAACTAGCAAATTCATAAAGCTTTCCAGTGTTGGAGAAAACAAGAACACCAACCTCAGCATCACAAAGAATAGCCAATTCCTTAGCTTTTTTCATCAATCCTTGCCTTCTTTTTGAAAAAGTAACTTGCCTACTATTTGTATTTTCAATCATCTTAATTTCAATTTTTCCTCTCCCCATTTTCCCTTTTCTTTATTTTCCTTTCCTTCTAATAACAATGGAGTGAATGATAATGAAGAAAGGAGTCATGTCTTATATAATTATGTTGAATTCTTGAAAAGTCTAAGGATGGAAAGTGTTACTACATTTGGAAGGGAAATTTGGAAAGGAAATAATGGTTTTTCTATGTGTGGTAAAGTACTCTTTGGAATGTTTCTATTAAAAGGCATGTTTGGTTTAGTATTTTGTTGGGCATCTATTGTCCAATTTGTTAGCATTTTCATTTATGTGCCTAAATTGATCAAGTATATTTGATATGATAGAAAATATTTTCCAGAAAACGCGTGATTTGGTTGTCAAAAAATATTTAGTGACTTCGTAATATTTAGGCAAAATTGGCTAATTTATTAGTGACTTTGGAGCAATAAGTGAAAGTACTCTTTGGGAAGTTTCTATTATAAGGCATTTTTGGTTTAGTGTTTTGGTTGGTCATCTATTGTCCAATTTGCTAACATTTTCATTTATGTTCCTAAATTGATTAAGCATGTTTAGTATAATAGAAAATATTTTCCAGAAAATGCGGGATTTGATTGTCAAAAAATATTTAGTGACTTCCTAAGACTTAGCTGGTAAAGCTGACTAATTTTTTCATTACAAAAAATAGTTAGTGACTTTGGCGCACTAAATTAAAACTCTAATAGTTATTTTCTCAATTTTATTTCTCTCTATTTATCTTCCCTTTTTCTCGAAATTTCTTTATCTCTAATAAGGGGTGATTGATAATGGAGGAAAGACTCATAGGTTATATAGTTATGTTGAATTGTTGAAGGGTCTAATAATAGAAAGTATTACCAAAATTTAGAAAGGAAATATGGAAAGGAAATATAATTCTTTTCCCATGTGTAGTAAAGTACTCTTAATATAGCTTTCCCATTTTTCCTTGTTGGTTAGGGGTTTTTCCTCTTTTAGAATGTTTCTATAAATAGTATGTTTGGATTAGCATTTAGGTTGGGCATCTATTGTCCAATTCGCTACTTCTTCATTTTATGTTTCTAAATTGATACAAGTGAAAGTTATTGTGTATATTTGTGTTTGCGTGTGAACTGAAATAAGCTCATTGCCTATTTTAGTTTTACAATTATATTACCATCAAATATGAAATAACAGTATAAACTTAACATAATATATGGATAATCAAATGGTACAAGAATATCTAGTTGTTAAATTTGTATATATTCACATCTAGAGAGATCAAAAGAGCATATTTCAATAAATTAAAAATTATTACAAGGACCAAAATTAGGATTCATCGATATTTGAGGGACTAATACAAATTTATCGGCCAGATATAATCACAATATGCATGCGCGTGTAACATTATACTTCGATTTAGATGGCGAGCGCGTAGGGAAAAAATGACAACATTTTAAGAAATAAGATACTAATCATTATTTTCCAATCAAGGCGAGGAAGTGGATTCCGAAAATTCGAACAATTTATATAGAATTCTTTTAAATTTAATTTCTTTCATTTCTAGCAAAAGAAAGTTTGTACTAAAATTTAATTTATATGATTTATATACCTTGTGAATACATATTTATATGCTGTCCGCAGAACACTTCGCTTGTTTTTAATTTTAACTGATTTACACCCCATTTTTAGTAGGACAAAGACAAATAGCTTTTGGCAAACACAATTCAGTGCAAAGGGAAATTTTCGTTCCTATACCATATAGGAAACTATAATACCAAATATGTTCATAATTTGCATATTACCTTTCATACTAATAGTCTTTCTATAAAATATAGACCATGCATTAAATAAGGAATCATTATAGCTGTAGGCTTCCTTATTTAGGCGCTAAAATTGGGGGATTAAATATTCTTCAAGATCTTCCTAACGCAAATCATGCACATTAATCTTCTTCATCAGTTTCGTTTCAAATTTAGTGTCTCTACATCAAACGCAATTATTCTTCTACAATTCAAAAACGAATTGATTATTCTTCTACAATTCACAAATCAAAAACGACTAAATCTTCTACAGTTCTTCTACATCAAATGCAATTATGTCCAAATTTCAGTAATACAAAGCAAAGGAAAAGAGAGCAGCTTCCACCATTGACAGCCATTAAAAAGCTTGAAAGCTTTGAATTCAAATTTGGGTTTTCAAAAATTATTATTTGTTTGGATTGGGTGTTGTTGAAAATAATTGGGAATATGGTTTGGAGTTTATATCTCAATTTTGAGGGGTTTTGGTGAAGATTAGACTTGGTTTTGACTGAATTTCAGATTGAAACTCGAAGAAGAAGAAGAAGAAGAAGAAGAAGAAGAAGAAGAAGAAGAAGAAGAAGAAGAAGAAGAAGAAGAAGAAGAAGACGTATATTGCAGAAATTGGAGAAAAATTGTAGATAAATTGAAGAACAATTGTAGACTGTTGTTTATTTATTTTTCTTCTATTCATTTACTTATTGTATGAAAGTTGAACAACATTGTATAAAAATTGTATTTAAGTGGATTGTCACGACCCCAATCCCGGTCGTGATGGCGCCCAACACACTGTTAGGCAAGCCCGACCAATTAACAACCTTAACCCAATTCATTATACAGCTCATTATTAGCTAACACCATTAAATTACCAAATCAACATATTAGAAGTCTGAAACAAGAGTTAAATGTGCGGAATTTAAGATAACAATACTATTACATAGCCCAATAGATCCGGTGTCACAAGTCTGAGCCTCTAATACAGGTTCATCAATCTAATACATGTCACTCTAGGGGAATACGAAATAGAAACAAAGGATAAAAGANCAAAGGATAAAAGAGAGAGATCAGTGTTGCGGACGCCATGCAGCTACCTCGATGCTCCCAGATATGCGCTGCTCAACAGAGAATCCTCACTGATGCATCTGGATCTGCACGCACGGTGCAGGGAGTAATGTGAGTACTCCGACCCAGTGAGTAATAAACATAAATAAAGGCTGAGAATAAGAAATCATGGATAAACACATTGTAATCTATAATACGGCAGTTTAAACCAAATAGTATGAAATCAATAAACCAGTGAAGTAGAAACATGGAAAAGCTACAACAGATAAGCAATTAAATGAAAACCAAATAAAGGAATGCAGCACATTGTACGGTACTCTCTAGTACCCGCTGCGGCGTGCAGCCCGATCCGTTTATTTATCGTCGACGGCGCTCACTGGGGGTGTGCAGACTCCGGGAGGGGCCCCTTACGGCCCAAGCGCAATATCAAGCCATCTCGTGGCATCAGCTAGGCCCTCGGCCTCATATCAATATCAATACAATACTGTTTATAAGTGGTCGGCGTGCCACACGATCCCATTTCGTAATATA